AAATAGTTTTAAACCAATAATAATTTAAATCAATTATATAAATAGAAACAAAACTTAATATTTAAAAATTAATTTGTTGTTGTGTTGAAATGATGTTTTACTTTCATTGTAAATTATGTTCAATTACAACTAATAATCAGTATATATTTTTATAATTTATTATTTTTGCTATTTAATTTTTTATAATTAATATGAAACTCTTATATACTTATAAAAAAAATTAATTTTTTAAATAAAATATTATTATTTTTATTAATTGTTTGTAATACTTATTCTTTAAATAAATCTAAAAGCTAATTTGAAATTGCTTACTATTCTTTAATTGCATTAAGTTCTTAATATCTTTAAATAGTTTATACTTTTTTATTATAGACTATTAAATTTAATTTTATTAATTTGTTCTAATTAAAGTCTAAAAACATATATATAATTTAATTTAGTCTTTTTTGTATTAATTTTTTGTTTATTATTAAATAATATTAATTTATAATATTGTTTTTTTTAAATATTAATGATAAGGCCATGCCTTTAACTTTATTGAAATTCAATTGAAGTTTTTATAAAAAAAAGCTTGCTTTTAAATTACATATAAAGAATAAAAACTTAGACATATAATCTGTGATCTAAATTTATAAGAGTGGCCAAGGCTCACCTAGATTTGGAAATTAGTAATAATATATCAAAAAGGAGTATGATATTTAATCTATTGAATAGTCCAAAGAACAATTTTAGTAATAATTTGTAGTATTGAAATAGAAGGTAATGATAATCTAGAAAGAGAATTATAGTTAAGTTTGAAGAAAATATAATTTGAAACTGTGCTAAACATGAAATACAATATAAGATTCATATTTATTTGTACAGTATATTTGTTAGTTTAATTGAAAAAGAAATTTAATAGAAAGAGAAGTAGATATATGATAAGAAATAAAAGTATTATAAATAGTAGAAATAAGGTTGATAAGAACTAGGTCAGATAAAGTAAAAATAAAAAATAGTATATGAGAAAAAAGTTGTACAGTTTAAAACTGTTAAGTGTAAGAATTTCTTAATGTAGATTAGAAACAAGGTTAGTGAACATGTTAAGAGTAGTTACATTTAAGATGCAATTAAAAAAGTTAAAGATTAAGTAATAAATTGTTTGAATGAAAGAACAAAGAGTTTAGTGTAATAAAGAATTAGTTTGATTGCATTAATAACAAAAAGAAGAGTAAGAAGGATTACATTGGTGAAGAGTATAAAGAACAGGTAGTTTATTTAAGAGAATTTTAATACAAAAAGTTTTTAGAATAGAGAAATAAAAACTGTAAGCAAAGTTAGAAACTTTTTAGTTATTATTAATGTAAAGCCAAGAGGCTTTCTAGTTAATATTAGATGCAATAGTAGACTATTGTTGAAAACAATATTGAAATCTTTAAAGTGTTATAATATAAACTTAACAGATTATATAAATAGAATATTGAATAGAAATTTTAATAAGAAATTAGTCAATAAATAGTGTATAGGTAGATATATATAACTTTTTTATATTACTTATTTAAAAAGTCCACCTAAGAGTTTTCTATTAGTTGCTATGCCTAATATTCCTGTTTAGGCATACTATTTAAACTTTTTGAACCTATAATCTATACAACATTCTGATCTTTATTTCAAACTTAAAACTAATTTATTTTCAAAATAAACCTTCTAAAACCTTCTGTATTCCTATTTACATCTGACCTGGACTCACTATAGCTGAATTAATACTTGCAATCAGAGCTAACCATTAAACTGCTATACTATTGTAAAGTTTATACAACTCTAGTATCTATTTTTACAATCTTAACAATGCCTTGTTTTATTTTTGCAAGTCTTTTCATACTACCAATTTAGTAAGCTTTGCATAATATGATTTTATGCTCAAATTAATCAGTATTCAGATTGGTGGACCTCTTTTACTTAGAGATTCTTGCCTATATAAGTTACTTGACCCCAGATTTCCTTCTTTGTCAAAATTTTTATAGGTGATATTGTCAAAAATTGTACTATTTTTCTATTTGGGATTTTTAAACAGAACTTCTTATAGAATATATATTTTTATATTTATTTATATAATACAAGCTACTGGACCTGTCACTAAATGATAGGTTACATTTAATTAAAAATAAGATTTTAAACTTTGATTAATATGCTATATAAATATATAATTTTATGTATGCTATATATATATATAACATGATTTATTTTTTAATTTATTTTTTAATTTTAGCACTATTGTAAATAATTATTTAAATATGTTATGTAAAAATAAATTTTTATTAGTAAGTTTTGATTATAAAGTATGTTTTTTTGACTAAAGACTTATTAGTTTTATAAAGTTAAAAATATTTATGCTTACTAAAAAATTAAATTTTAAAATCAGATATAATATAAAAACATGATTTTTTTAAGAAACTTGAAATTTTGCTTATGAAATTATTTTCTGAATTTTAACAAAAAAAATATCTTGCAAAATTTTGAGTTAAAATTTCTTTGTTATTGCACTTTGCTAATCTACTCTAACCCTAAAATAGCTTTGCAATCATGCAACCAGATAACAATTAGACAATTGTTCAAATGATCATAATCTTTTCCAGTAATACAAAAAAATTCTATGCCAGGTTTTGTTAATTATTATGGTGCATATTGTTGATCTACAAATCATATTTCAAGAATCAAGTATAACATAATACAATCAAAACAATGTTTATTTTTGTTAAAAATTTCTTATTTCTTAAAACCTATATAAAAAATCACTTCTAGTGCTCTAATAAAAAATTTTTCTTGAGCAATTTTACTACACAACTATTCGGATTTTAACTTTATTCTAGATGTTAACCCTAACATTAATAAACTTTAAAAAATTTTGCTGCATCACCAACTGGCACAGAATTTTTTTATGCTTCTTAGTAAGGTTAGAATCTGTGTTAAAATTAAAATTTAGAAAATTTAATAGTAAAATTGTTCAAATAAAACTTTTCATTATAGCACTTTGCAATAAAGTATGGTATTGTAATTTTTGTAATGATAGTAGTTGGAAATTTCAGAGATTTAGATTTTATATTAATTATATATTTTAATAAACTATTGTATATATTGTTTAAAATCTTTAAAATTGTTGGAGAATTAAAAAATCTGCTAATATTGCCAATTTTTTGCAATTTCACATGACATAATGATCTGCAAATGACATACTTTATTGCAAAGTGCTATAATGTGAAGGTGGTTTTTTATCAAATAACAATTGTTTTGCATTTTCTGATTGCATAATATTAAACTAAAGTGAGGTTTATTATTGGCTTATTTTCATTTATTATTACATGATGGTAGTGATTTTCTAATGATACTAGGGTAGTTTAAGATGTATACAATACTAATACAATTTACAAATTTGGCAATGTTTGAATATATTGATATCAGTCTAAACCTAAAAAATAAAGTACATTTATTAATTTAGTAATTTTGTATAAATTTTACTATAACTATATTAGTTATATATATATATTGTTCCAAATTAAGTATTATTAGTTAGACATGTTGAAAAATATTTACCTGATAAAATTTTTGGATTTGTACTTAGAGGAGAATAACAGCTTTAGTTTGTTAGAGTTGCAAGATTAAGAAAGAAAAATTCTTTATGATTTTTATTTAAATAATAGTAGGGCAATATGAGTATACTTGAAAAAAAAAAATATAGATATTACACTATCAGGCGTCTCTCTGATTAGGTTTATAAAAAAAAAAAAAAATATATATATATACATAGAATAGAGCCAAAAAACATTTAAATATTTAACTTACATTTTAAACTTTAATAAAGCTTCCAAGAACTCGATCTACAAAATATTAAATTATAAAAATTAGCAGATAAAACCAAAGATAATTTATAATTAATTTTTGAATTTTTAAAAAATTCTTAAAACTTATTTTGATCTAAAATTCAGCTTAAATATTTTGAATTATATAATTTATATGAGTAGTACTTGCATAACCCTTAAAATTGTTAATAAGACTTAAATTTTTTATTCATTAACTTTTTGCTATTAAATTTCTTTTTTTATAAGGCTTGCTGCTTTATCCCTCTTATTATTTATTTTATAGTTTCTAACTCCTATTTATTCCAAATTTTCTTAATTTATTCAGTTACTATTCTAATTAAATTCACTATATATATTACTATTGCTTTTTTAATAATAGTAACACATAACACTTATCTCATAATCTGTAATAGCATAATTTTAAAGAGTTATTAAGCTCTGATTTTATAATATATAAAACATATATTGTATATCTTATTAATGCAATATTTTAATTTAAGGTCCTTTCACTTATACAGTAATATTATCTAACCAACTTATTTAGCTATTAAAGCTATATATAAATTAATGTTTTGAATTTTTAGTGAATAATAATCAGTATTTTTTTTTAATATTGAATTGTTTTAAACAAATATTGACATATATATCAAAAAAATTCTTACTGAAGCACTTCAGTGTATACAATATTTTTAGTACATTTAGAAAATTCTGTTTTTCCAAAAAAGATGCGCAATCTTTGTAAAGATGTAACTCTCAAGCATGCAACATATAACTGTCTATGAGAAAAGACAGAAGTTGGGATATAAAGTCCAAGATAGTTTATAGTTTGCCCTTGAGATTTGTGGATAGACATTGCAAAGACAAGCTGACATAGAAATTGGCAATGCTTCAGAACAAATGGTAGTAATACATTGGTGAGAGATAGTATTATTCTAGGCAAAAATACTCTTTGTCTAATTAAAGTAAAGGTTCACTTAGAGGTTCTACTTCTATAACATGTTTTTATAGTGCTTTAATAATTAATCTTGTTTTGTTGCAAAGTCTTTTAGCTGTATTGATATTACATAGTAATACAATAGATGCACCAACTTTAAGTAACAATACATGAGGCAGTAGACCACTAAATTTTAATAAATTAAGAAATTCAGTTGAATAGAGTACTTCTTAGTTAGGATTATATATTTCAGAGTTTTGATCTATAGAATCTGCACTATAATATGTTGTTTCTTCATCAGAAAATTGAAAAAGTACTTCTGAGCTAAGTATGTCAACCTCTTTATTCTTTGAAGCAAGAATTGCTCTCTCAATTAAATATGCAGCATTTTGATATCATACTTGTAGTTCTGGAAATACAAAATCAATTAATCCTTGAGAGCTATCACATTTAAGTATAATTTCTGTTGATAAGGATATATAATTGGTATCAGGTATAATTTTGGGAATACATTCTTCAAGTTTTAGTAGCTAGTCAGCAAATTCTTTTTGGGCATCTGTGTCTGAAAAGTTATGCATTTTTTGTAAGCACATGTTAATTGTTAATTTTTTTACTTTAACATACTGCCATAGCCAAGAGTTACTCAGACTTGCATTAATAATATCTTCTCATTCACCTTTGGAACTACTGAAAGAACTTGTCTAAAATTGCCACCAAACATCATAATTTTACTACCAAAAGGTTCATTATTACTTATAATATTCTGCATAGTACAGTCTATTGCTTTAAAAACATAACAATGTAATATTAGAGCCTCATCTTAGATAATTAGTGTTGCTTGTCTAAAAAGCTCAGCAAGATCTGTTTGTGCTAATATGTTGCATGTAGAGTTTTTATTAAGATTAATAGAAATTTTGAATAATGAATGTGCTGTTCAACTATTGAGCAGTAATGCTGCATATTCAGAGGAACCAATGGCTAATGAAATATTTTTTTGAGAACAAATTTTTGCTAATAAAATTAAATAAAGAAAGGTCTTTCTAGTGCCAGTTGGTCCATCTACAAAAATGCATATAGAGTCATTTTGTTCAACTGTATGTAAAATATCTTTATATATGTTTTGTTGATTATAGTTCAAAAGTTTTTCATTTTGGTCAACAAATTCAATAAGTATTTTATAAGTATAGTTTAACTTATTTTCTATTAAGGAATTTCTTGATTCATTTATTGTAATAGGAACTGGCATATTAAAAAAATCATTCAAAGATTTTCTTTGTTGTATTAAGATATTATTTAATAAACAAAAGGCATGATTCTTAATTTCTTCTGTTAGCTGAAGATTTTGATTTTGTGTTACTTGTCAAGTTCAGTATAAAATGTTATCACTAAGAGCAATTTTGTGTTTTGTTCATAGATGTTTAGGTTTCATAGAATAACAATTAACTAAAATGTTTGCAAATAGAAGCCATAATTGTTGTTTAGTTTGTATATTTGATGCTTCATTAAGGAATTGATCCTATTCTAAGTCATGTTGAAGAAGATTCATTTCATGACATGCATCTTTGAATGTTAGATATTCAATACCATTTACAGTATGCAGATGTTTAAATGATTGGACTCCACATACAACATTAAGGAGCATGCATAAGTAATAATATTTACCTGCACCTGGATATACAAAATAAAGATGCCCAATAGCATTTTTATGTTTATGCAATTTCCACTTCTTTGCTTGCTTATCAAAAACAAACTTATGTAAAAATTGTGCATATGTATAGTTTTTTGTCAGATCTGATAAAGAAGGGTTACTATTTGCTTAAAACCATGCTATCAAGATTATTTGTTGATTATTTGCTTATTGTAAGACTATATCTAATGCTTCATTATCTGAAAACATTATTAAATATTGGTTTGGTAAATATATACTTAGTCTAATAACATCAGGTGTTTTATTATGCATTTTATAGTACATAATGTACCAGAAAGATTCTGATGCTAATACATAATGGGCATTTAGATATTGTTAAATCTTATTTAGGCTTGTTTGAGCCAGCATTTAAATTTTCATTATTACTAATTATTATAGTTGCATAATCATGCCCTTTGTAAATGTATTTAAAAAGGTATTTCACTGTCTGTGAATAGAAGAATAAATCTCAATGTTGATATAGCAATTGAACTTCTTGCAAAGATAAATATTCTGTAATACAACCTAACAGTTGTCTAGTTAAACACCTTTGACTTCTACAATTAGTCGTTATTACATCAGTGATATATAGGGTATCCATTTTCATTTTCACTAGATACTGCCTAAAATGGTTTAGAAAATCCTTTTAAACATCTTTCATTTTGTATACATGGTGCACTCATGTTTAGTAGACCACAGGGCCCATGCATTATACTTTTAATAATGTTAAATATTCATCTAAATACTAGGAATTTCAGAAGATACAATGAGATTATAGTCATCTGTAGTACATAGTTTGTTTTTATCTGCATGCATTATGAACATATATACATGTTATAGGCCACACTTTTGTGCTTTAATAACATAGATATATGCTTTTACTTTATTAAAAATTTCTTTTTTTAATATATCATCTAGCAAAGTATTCAATTTCATATTAAAAACATGTGCACAGAAGTCAGGATGGTTATGTGCACTTTGCCTAGGCAACAAAGCTGTTTGGATTTTTTCCTAGCTTGGATTGCATGTCATTGTAATAAATAAGTCTGGTTTATCTGCATGCCTAACAATAGTCATAGCATCTTGGTAAAGTTGATGTATATGATATAGTCCACTAACAAAACTTAATGAAAGAACAATTCTTTGACTAATGCAAGCCCCATTTTGTGGAAATTTATTATTAGTTGTAAGTGCATCTTGCAATCTATTATATAGTTTAGCTCTGATTTTTTTTTGATTTGAATTTAAATAATTGAGATGATTTTGTTCAATGCATGCATAACTATCTACAATATATTGCTGAAACAGACAACTGGTTCTGTGAAGAGAAAATGTTTTTAGTGATTCATATCTATGAACTTGCAACTGATATGCATAGTATTGCATCATTGTTATATGTTTTGAACTTTCTTCTTTACAATAGTCTTCAGAGGTGTTTAAATTATCAAAAACTTTACCATAATTATTTAATTGTTTATTTAGTACCTTATGTGCAAAAATATTTGAATGCCATCTAGGCTTATTATATAGAAAAAGTAACACATAATGCAATGGGCTATAAAAAGAATAAAATTGATAAATTTGTTGCAGATCACCACTTTGTTTGTGAAAAATTATATTACAGTTCAAAGGCTCTTGATCTTCACCATTTCCAACCATTAGCACTGCAACTTCTGATATGGTAGGTGTAACATATTGTTGTTCATAATGTGCTTTAATTATTGCCATTTTTAGTTCTTAAGATGGATTTTCATGCAACAACTGTGCCATTTGTTTGAAAATATGCATATATTGATTTACTTTATAAAGCATTTCTTGAAGTTCAGCTAGTACAGAAGAGTCCAAATCTGGCATAATATGTTGCCTATATAATTGCTATTCATCTGTATTATACAGATAAATTTGACAAAATTTCAGGCATACAGGATTTTTGGTAAAAGTGTACCTATTTGGTAATACATTTCTTCATAGATTTGAAAAGAGTATATACTGCTAGTTTCTGTTACTTGCTCATCAATCTTTGCACTTATTAATGTAAATGTGAGAATTGAATTGTATATATAGATTTTGATTTAAAAATTTCGTGCATGTGCATTATTTTCAGTTAGTAGAAAAAGTAAATTTGAAGGAGTTAAGACCAATGGTTGTAAATGCACCTTGTCTTTTGCACAGCATGTGCTATAGATTGGTTTCTTTACCATTTTAGAAACTTTTTTATCTTTTCAATGTAAAGCACCACAATATAGACATTTAACATTCATATAATCCAAATTATGCAATAGTACAACACTACTGTTATATTAATCCAAATAGACTTTATAAGAAGCATAATTATTTATTTTTCTGTACTTTGCTCTTCATTCTTCAGCTTGTTCAATAGTTTCAGCAGCCATCTGTCATGCATAAGTTTCTTGATCTCATGAACATCACTATAAAATATGCTTATTGGAGTGGATGACCTTTTTATATATATAAGCTTCTTTTCTAAGACTATTTCTATATTCATGTATACTTTCAGTTGTTCTACTTGCAAGGTAAGTAGTTTTTGGTGCCATTTTTCAGGAATAACTTTTTCTTGTTATTTCTAGATTTTCTAACCTATAATTGGATGTTTTTGTCTTAGCTATTGCAAAAGACATATTATTAACTATTTCTATTTCAGCTAATTCATTGGTTGTATCTTTAGTTAACTCAAAAAACATATTATTATAGAATGTATTTATTTTAAAAAACATATTATCAGGCATATTTAATTCAAAAAACATATTATTAGGTGTTTGTATTTTAGTTATTCAGAAGACATGTTATAATTATTGCTACCAACTTTAATATAGCAAAAGAGTGAATACGAGATAGTAAAAGTGAGATAGTAAACATGAAATAGTAAAAGTTAGATAGTAAACATGAGATAGCAAATGCAAGAGAATGAACATAAGAAAAACACATACACAAAATGCCAATTACTTAAACTTCTATTACTTATAGTTATAGTTACTATAGAGCAAGTGCATTTTATGAATACTTATCAATATAGGTATTGATTTAATTATATTAATTAAAAATTGATTTAAAAATACTGTATATTAAACTCATTATTTATACAGCAGACCTCTTGAATTATGTTATCAGGACCATCCTAAAAATAAGTTAAGTGCATATATTTAAAGAAAGTAAAATATTTATTTAAACATATAATTCTCATTTATTTATAAAGCTATAGACTATAAACTTTATTTAATTATTATTATTATTTATAAAACTATTTTACTATATTTTTGTTTTGATTTTTAATTTAAAATTCTTATTTAAACTAAACTTTTTAAATAAACTCTTTATTGTGTCACAGTTGAAATCAGTTATGTTCTTAAAACATTTTATGTATTATTATATGTATATCTATTTATTTATTTATCAAATACCTAATCATGACTTTAGTAATCACTTTTATGAATCTATTAATTCAATTGCCTTATTTGGTCATAAGTTAAAATAACATAGTAGTCTATTAATTTTTTTTCATATTGCTTTCAGCTGCTAAAGAATCCATGATACTTAAATCTGTACAGTATTTGCTCTATTTATTTAAAAGATTAACTCACTTATTTATTTTTAAAGACTAATTCCCATATATTTATTTAAAGATTAATTTACTCTATTCTAAATTTTAAATTATTTATATGAGCATTAACTCAACATCATAAACTTATCTATCTTAAAATTAAAATTATATAATATATTGAATTTTAGAACTAATATTAACTTGGATTGCCTTAAAATTCTGTTTTCAACTTAAATGAGATTTCTAAATAGTTTTAGCTTTGAAGTTTTATATTTTTTATTCACTTTTTAAATATACATATATTCACAGATATCAAAATCATAATACCATAACTTTAGTATAACAAACACATCTTACTACAGTATATTTCAGTGTAACAAAATATTATTATATACTATGAATACTGCATATCACCATAATAGCCACATGATGCTAGAATAATGGAACATCTAAAATTTTGTATTATAGATTACATATTTCCAAAATTAGTTTTTGTATAACTAGAATTACAGAGTTATAATCTCAAATATCTTATCCAAGATACCAAAATAGGACCATTTTTTAAAATTCTGTCACTAGTAAGTTTTGAACTCTGAATCTACTGTTTGAAGAATAATAATCCAACTATTATACTAGGATCACTATCTTCTTTATATTTAATTTTTCAATACAACATACTTTTATATTTTAATAAAATTATTTTTATACTTCTTTTAATTTTTTTAAATTTATACTTAATTATATTTTTTTTTATTTTTAAGTAAACTAACAATACTAAACTTTCTGCTTCTAACTATACTAATTTATCAAATTCTAATTACAATATTATATACAAATTAACATTTTTTAAAAAATATACTTTTTTATTTTTTTTAAATTCTACTAAACAAATCTATCTTCTTTTATTAAAAAAAACTTTTAGCTTACTAAGTTAATTATTTCAATATAAATTTCATCTTTAACAAACCAAAACTTATTAAGTTATCATATTATTCTTTGAACTTTTATTTAACCTTTTTTTGAAGTTTTATTAGTTAATTTTAGAAAATTTACTAAAGCTTTACTTTTTACTAATCTTAAAAATATTTGAATATCTAATATTTTTTCAAATTTCTTTAAAAAAACTTAGAAAATTCACTGAATTTCTGAAAAATTTATTGATAATTTTGAAAAACTTAATTTTCTTACTTAGTTCTTATCCCTTTTAACTGTATTTTTTTATTACTTATATTATAACACATATTATAAACATACTATAAACTATTTAAAAAGTCTTTTATATATTTTTGTTCTAAATTATTTACAACATTAAATATTTTTTTGTTATTAATATTATTTACAATTCTAAAATTAATTTACAAACTACAACTTAACAAGATTACCTTTTAGACTATTTAAAGTTATCCTATTTTAGAATATCTTTTTTATTTATATTTATAACATCTAAAATTCAAACCTTAGAACTTTTAAAACAAATTTCAAAGATTATTGTTTTGGTTCTTTTTTTTTTTTTTTTTTTTTTTTTTTTGTTAAAGCCGATGTTATCTGTAGCTACCGCCTTTATTGTGTTTTTGGTCAATGCATTACATATGACTTGTACAAGGTAAGTATGCAACTAGCCACACATGTAACTT